TTTGGACCGGCTTCAAAAGCCTCTCGGCAGCCGGCAGGCCTCTTGCGGCCTCTCTGTGGCCTGTCCGAAGCCTGCCTCCTCTCATCTTAAGGCAACGTTAGGCATTTTGGACCGGCTTCAAAAGCCTCTCGGCAGCCGGCAGGCCTCTTGCGGCCTCTCTGTGGCCTGTCCGAAGCCTGCCTCCTCTCTTCTTATGGGCTTCCGAAGGCAACGTTAGGCATTTCGGCCCGGCTTCAAACGCTCCCCAGAGCCTCACCGCAGCCTTGCCCTCTTCTCGGCAGCTGGCAGGCCTGCCTCTTCTTCTTATGGGCTTCCGAAAGCGACGTTCGGCATTTTGGCCCGGCTTCAAACGCTCCCCAGCGCCTTTGGCCTACTCCTGCATCGCAGCCTCACCGCAGCCTTGCCCTCTTCTCGGCAGCTGGCAGGCCTGCCTCTTCTCTTCTTCTGGGCTTCCGAAAGCGACGTTAGGCATTTTGGTCCGGCTTCAAACGCTCCCCAGAGCCTCACCGCAGCCTTGCCCTCTTCTCGGCAGCTGGCAGGCCTGCCTCTTCTCTTCTTATGGGCTTCCGATAGCGACGTTAGGCATTTTGGCCCGGCTTCAAACGCTCCCCAGCGCCTTTGGCCTACACCGCAGCCTTGCCCTCTTCTCGGCAGCTGGCAGGCGTGCCTCTTCTCTTCTTATGGGCTTCCGACAGCAACGTTAGGCATTTTGGCCCGGCTTCAAACCCTTCCCAGCGCCTTTGGCCTACTCCTGCATCGCAGCCTTGCCTGCGTCAGGCGGGAGCCTGGGGAGAGAGCCTCTGGAACATGCAGCCCGTGCACTGCAGCCTTAGAACTGAGCCTCTGGAACCCCCACCTCGGCAGCCCTCAAACCCTCAAACTCTTCTCGGCAGCTGGTCTTCTCGGCCTGCGGCTTCTCTTCTTGTGGGCTTCCGAAAGCGAGATTCGGCGCATTTTGGACCGCCCTCAAACTCTTCTCGGCAGCTGGCAGGCCTGCCTCTTCTCTTCCTATGGGCTTCCGACAGCGACGTTAGGCATTTTGGCCCGGCTTCAAACCCTTCCCAGCGCCTTTGGCCTACTCCTGCATCGCAGCCTTGCCTGCGTCAGGCGGGAGCCTGGGGAGGGAGCCTCTGGCACCGTGCAGCCTTAGAACTGACCTCTGGAACCTGCCACCTCTGGAACTGACCTCTGCAACCTCTTCTGTTGAATCCCAGGAAGTTGTCAAGGTTCAACCGCCAAACCCTCGAGATGAAAAGGGGTCGGCGGCACCCGGGCGGAGCCCTTACAATTTGTATAGCCCATTGGCCAGTCCTGCTTTCACATCTGACAAAAACTTCTGATCTTGTGCATGTTGCTCAGCCAAAGCATCTGGAACCTTCTGTCCACAATGCTCCAGCAAAGCAATTAATTCACCTGCACCACCAGCGAAGCCAAAATTTTGGGGGTGTGGGCAGGAAGTGGTGAAATGGCGCCCCAAAAAAGGAAGCAAAGTCTAGGCAAAATGCCGGACAAGGTTGGACATGCGAAAATCAATGCAGGTTGTCTTGAATTGGGGATGCCCCTGGTTTGGGGGTCAAAATGCAGGTGATTTGGGGAGCAGTTAGCTCCAACTCGTCACTAGCGTCTCCTATCTCGATGAAGCTGCTGAAGCTGAAGGTTGCTGGTTAGCTCCTTCACTCTTTCACTCTAACTCTCTCCTGTCTCCTTGAACATCTCGCCTTCGCTTTACTCGCTTTTGGCACCACCTACTCCACCTCTAGACTCGGCCAAGCCCCTTGCTCCCCACCTGCAATCCAGAACCGCCCCTCGGGCAAAAAGGCATAGACCCGGCCGCCCCGCTGCCCAGGGCGGCTCGTGCGGCCGATGCAGTTGGCATATTCTCCGATGCTGCTGGGGAAGTCGAAGAGGATCACCGCCAGAGAGAGGGGCATGGAGTCCTTTCCCGCCGGCCATGCAGCAAGTTCGGGCGTCACGTACTTGTCAAGCTGCAAAGGTGATGAGAATCTACGGCTAGTATGATCATGTATTCTCAAATGATCTAGGATGAAAATCTCTGTGCACCATCACCCCACCAAGAACTGCTTTTTGCGATCGGAATCCACCCATCACCCCGGGCCAAGGGGCTGGATCATGGAAGTCCAAGCCTCGGCCGGCCAAGGAGAAGGTCGAGATCAACATCTTGACCTTGCCCTGCAAGAAGTTCATGTACTGCGCCTTGGCCAGCAATCACGACGGCTTTGTACATGGAGACTAAGCACGTCTCTTGACAGAAAGAGACTAAGCACGGCTCAGCAGATCACGACAGAAGTAGGCCAAAGTGCCAAATAGATAGGGCAAACTCCTTAAACCACCTGACCACAGCACTTTTGCACCGGAAAATCCTGCCAAGGGTTTAACTTTAAACCGACACACTTGGGTTCGGAAGTACTGGACACAACTGCATTCGGCCACCTGCCCGCATAAGTCATAAGTCATCCACCCAGCCATCCAAGACTCCAAAGGTTCATCGACTTGTAGACGCCCTCTCAAATCCCTTCAAACCTACCCGCAAACAACCATCACTCCACTCCCAACGGTCATCACCCCACTCATTCCACTCGGCCTGCTGCTCCTCGTGCTTCTGCGCATGGTCCAGCACCGCCACTCGATCGTGCCAGTGTGAGTTTGGCACGTGCTTGCTCAGCGCCTCTAAGACCGGCGGGTGATGGGCGATCTGGGGCGGCAAGCGGTAGTGGTGGCAGAAGACCAAGAGCGACTCACTCGGCTCCATCTCCTCCTGCGACGGAAGAGTGAGGTGATTCTGGGAGGGAGGTTGAAAGAGATGAGGAAAATTGTCTTGTCTAGACTCTGCGACTCAAGGTTTGTTTCAGAACTGTTTAGCTGGCCTCTGCATCATGCATCATGCGACATCATGCATGTTGGTGTCCGGATGGATCGTTCGATGGACTTCGACATGGGCGAACCGTGTGTTGCGCGGACCGACGATTGATGATCAGGCGAAGCGACACCAATTCGATGGGTTTCATTCACCACACCTAGTCACTCTCGGTGAGTGCCAGTCACTGGTTCTGTGATATGTCAATGTTGTGTGGTGTCTCTTGATGAGCCCTTAGCTTTCAGGCGCTGCTTCAAGAATGCACGGCCTCCTTAGAGGCAGTGCACCTTCCCACAAGCGTTCTTGGCCAACATGAATACAAAAAGAACTTTAATTGCGCTGATTTTGGGTCACGTCATGTAGATGTAGGAAGTGCGCTGAATGGCCCACTTCAATGTTCATAATTTTGCATGGCGCACTCATCCATTGGTCTTTCTTGGTACAAAACATCAAGATTCCAACGTCTCAGCTCGTGTCTGAAATCAAATCGATGATCATCCTACTGTATTTCGCGCAGCAGGTTCACACCTGCTTGAATCTGCGACCTCAACTTCTCATTCCGATCTCATTCCAGCAACCCCGGCTGCGCATGTCTAGATCTCCTAAAGTTGTCTTGCTTTCTCCAAGACTACTAGTAGATCCGCTTCATATGCCTGGCGCAACGAACTTGTATCATACACGTCCACATATGAATGATGAGTATCCGTGATGGTCAAATCCTACATACTCTTTCATGTGCCACTCTTCTTCCCCAGCCAGATCATCATCGTCGTGGCTCCTGTCAACCATGCCCGCCACAACCAAACCTCGGAAAACGTGCTTTTCCCTCCCGGCACCGTCAGACCAACAACCACTCAGCCATATCAGGTCTACAGGATCCCGGCTCTCCCTCATTATGACAAGGGACGGCGCACAAGCGCAGAGGTTGGGCGAAAACTCCCTGCGCAGTGGACTCTACCCTGAACAGTTTTTATCATGATTCCATGAAGAAAAAAACAAAAACACTTTGCGTGCGCAGTAGAGGGACCGAACATGTTCGCACCGAGTTCTGCCTACCAACTTGGGCAAATCAACTCCTTGTCGGACTGGCCTGGCCAGTAAACTCCTCTTCTTCTCTTGTATCTTGAGAATCTTGATTAACAAGCTTTGGATCATCGTAGGAACTCCGCTCTGATCGGTCCTGTCCGCTTTGACTTTTGTGGATGACAGTCCTGTGACCAACCCTGGTGAGGACATGGCCTTGAAACAGAATACCATAGTTGGTTGATTTACTACACATCAAAAGTCCGATTTGTTTTCTTGCAAGGCAAAATAAATGCCAACTCTTTGTGGACCTTCCAGCCCTACTTATATGCCTCTTCACTATCTTTCACTCTTCTTGTTCTTCTTGGCACTGAACTACTCATCCTGCTTGCGTGGTCATTTCAGTCAGCACACAGCACTTTGGAAGCACCGATCCTTGACATATCGCTGTTCCACTCACACAGAAAAGTTTAAAAAAACGTCTGAAACGGCACCCCGAATTCAGACGGTTGGCGATGGCAGGTGCAATTCACATGTGCTCCTGTGCTCTTGCTGCCAAGAAGTTTTTGATAAGTCTGCTCCAATCATCCCTCTCACTGTGGTCTCCACATCTGCTCTCAGTGTACCGAAATAAGCGCCTTTGCTGCGTTTAAACATGCTTCGCAGGTGGGATACCTCTCAAGTGGTCTTCTCTGAGCGGGTTCTTTCGCTCACCACGATGCCTGAACTCACATACTCCCAAATCACTGCGCCAGTCATCCGCCCCCAAGGTTTTCGTCTGGGCCGGCTCAAATGAAATGTCTGTCCAATCTGCCTTTCCGGGCCTTGCAACGGGCTTGATATGGTCAACTTGATGTTTGGGCACTGGGCACGGTTTTTTTTTGCAGGGCGTGGTGTGAGTGTGTGTGTGTGTGTGTCTGTATGTACGTGTGCGTGCGTGGGTGTGTGTGTGTGTGTGTCAACCCCTGTGCCTAAGGGTTTCCACCTCACGGTTGCTTTTCGAATTTCATTTTCAGCAGGGGGCTCACGGGTTTGTTCCTGGCGTGAGCCAACGAAGCTCCAGATTCAGACTAGGATATCGAAAGAGGACGCTCTTTCGACGTACCTGCAACCTGAACTTTTGACCACGCTATCTAATTTGCTCTGTTTGATTCCATGGTTCTTCATGCTACCACCCCCAAAACCTTGGTTTCTGCAGCTGCACCGCGCCGCTCGTTTCGCCACCGCTGAGTTCTGCAGACACGAGAAACAACTTTTGTTCAAACACCTACAATTTCTTGGACCTTTCGCCATGCGGTTCTCTCACCTTCCTTCCACCTGGGAATTGCATAACTGCAAACCAATGTCAGAGTGTGACTCGCTCAGTCGTCCCACTTGGGTGCTGAGTGTGATCCCGGTCACTGGGGCACTGAATTCATGCCGGACTTTCACTAACAGCTTCTTTCGTTTCCACCGTTCGTTGGTTTCTCCTAACCGACTTGGCTTCACTACTGAATTATATAACTGCCACTACGCCGCCGGGCATCACGGAATTTCCACTTGAATTGATCGAATTCACTTCCACGTTTTTGCAGCTTGTTTTCACATTCAAGCATGTACAGTTTCACGCATTCCACTATGACCACTTTGAGATCGGACAAGCGTTCATGTCAGGACTTAGCAGCTGCTGCAGCCGAAGAGCTTATAAGATTGTATGTCCTAAAGGGACACAATGCCAAAGAGTGCGAGCGCTTTTTGCGGAAAAATCACACGTGCGCCGACGACGGCCACGTGTGTGTGTGTGTCAAAACCTGTGCCTAAGGGTTTTCCACCTCACGGTCGCTTTTCGAACCTCACTTGCTCACGGGTCTGTTCCTGGCGTGAGCCACCGAAGCTCCAGGTTTAGACTAGGATATCGAAAGAGGACGCTCTTTCGACGTGCCTGCAACCTGAAATTTTGACCACGCTGTCTAATTTGCTCTGTTTGATTCCATGGTTCTTCATGCTACCACCCCCAAAACCTTGGTTTCTGCAGCTGCACCGCGCCGCTCGTTTCGCCACCGCTGAGTTCTGCAGACACGAGAAACAACTTTTGTTCAAACACCTACAATTTCTTGGACCTTTCGCCATGCGGTTCTCTACCTTCCTTCCACCTGGGAATTGCATAACTGTAAACCAATGTCAGAGTGTGCACTTTCTCCTGAAAGTCATTTGTCGCAGATGTATCATTGAATCGAAAGTGGATCCAATTGCAACTCGTCTGGCATTTGGAGGATGTGAGATGTTGCGCCGTTAAGAAGTTGAAAGGATCTATTTGATGCCCCGAGTGGCAGCTTGACAGGGTCAGATTTCATGGCAGGTGTTCGCAAGCATGAATTTCCTGCAGTCAGTGCACCATTTCTCTGGTTTCTCATTGCGCTCATGATGCCTCTCTCTCCACCACGTCACCTTTTCTCCGCGTGAAAGACCTACTCTCCTACAGAACCACGCACTCTCTCGCGAAGTCTGGTCTCCATGGCCGAAAATATGCACCTGGTGAGGATCATGGTTGGATTGTTCCACTATGTTCCACTGGACCCCTTTTCGTAGGGGTCCAGCATAGCACCTGCCTGCGGCGCCGGACTAGACTAGACTCCCAAAACAACGGCACAGTGTCCGAGATCCGACACGTCCACACACCGGTCCCGCCAATGCGTCGATCCCACTCCGGACGCCCTTATCAAGTCGGCGATCCACGCGGCGTATCGAACATCGGAATCGACCCCCCTCCAAAGAACTGACGGGTGTTCCGTTCGGGGCATCCAGGGTGCCTCTCTTTGGGGCGATCCGATGAGTTCGATCCACCGTCCGACCGTCGGTGTCACCTGGATCCAGCGCACCAGCTCTGCCATCTTCTTGTTGTAGCCGCCTGGCGCCATCTGGGGGAGCGTCTTTGTTTTCTGAAACACCTGGAGATTTGATCAAGGACTGGTGGAAGCAGCAGTCAGGATCATGTACACTGAAATGACTATGACAATGAACCTCAAAGTACGCAGACTTCGGCTGAGATTTTTCAGCGGGAAGAAAACTGCGTGTCTTCACAGTCAGAAACTCTACCGTACCCCCGCTGCGCCTCCGCGCGTTTCGTAACCGTGTTTCCCCATGTTCCCAGCCAAGGATCCATCGAACTGGCCAGGGAAGAGCTTCACTTCTTGGGGGATGTTGGGCACCACAGGGTTCACCCGGATCTTGATCAACTCCTCTCCACACCTGAGTCCACACACGACAGGGGCACCGTGGGCCCCCTGTCGCACGAAGAGCTTAAGAAGTGCCATGGTTCAGGTGCGGGGAGACATGCAAAGGGTGTTGGATCTTCAAGTGGTCTTCACATGTTCATTCTGAGTCTCCTGGGCATTGATGAGGCAGGGATGAGCCGCAGCATGCGTGTCAAAGTCCTCTGACTCAGGTCGATGGACCAAAAAAACACACACTACTTGGAAAACCAAAGCACCTTTTGTGTTCACAGGTGTAAGAAATGTGCACGCGCGCTGTAGCCTATCTGAAGGAAGGAAATCAAAGGATGATTGATCAAGGGCAGGTGGGCCGATTGGCGCCGCTGGCCCCTCATCGCCCCCCCGTCCCTCCACCAAAAGCATACATGCAAAAAAAAGAAACGCTCCACCTAAAGCAGGAAAGGTGAACCTCTCCTCTTTCGCGCCCCAAACCCCAAACCCCAAGTGTACTCCACTCGACCTTCACCCCCGTGTCGTACGAGTCTTTCACTCCTCCGACCGGGGCACAGGTCGGAGGCCACGCGGTCGGCGTCCAAAGGCCAGGTGGCGCTGAGGAGCAAGAGCTGCCGGTCGGGGCGCATGAGATACAGCAGCTGCTTGATGTGGACGAGCCTCGGGAGGTGCGTGTGTCTACACCGTGGACCGGCACGGCACGCCCACGGAAAGGCTGGTGGTGGAGTCGGGTGCGAGAAAACAGAAGCATGTCTAATGATGTTTCATGGTGTGGTTCTTTCGCTTTCTGAAAAAAGAACCCAGCCTTTTTTTGAGAATGTAAAGGAGAGGCACATTGGGTGGGGTCGTTGGTCGCGGACCATCGACCAGAGGACAGACTTTAGCCCAGTCAGACGACACCTCGAGGTGTTTCGGTTCGATGTCAGTGGTCCAAGCAGAGTGCAATGATGCTGTTGACGCCACTAGTGGCTTTCCATTTCTTTGGAGTTCTAGAGATCTCTAGATGAAGTATCTCTTTCCTCTTGACCTCTAGAACACTTCTAGAACCCAAGTGAAGCCAACTTCTCCCAATCGAATTCCTTGACCAAGACAGAGCTGGAGTGAGCATTGGCACATCAGATCATCAGACGCACCTAAAGTCATCTTTCAATTCAACGCCCGACACCATGGAAAAAAAACGATGGTCAAAAGGGGAGGACTCAAGACGAGACGGCGATAGCCTATAGGGCAAGGAGCCAATTGCCCGTCAAGAGCATGTGATCCGCCTCATCCAGAACCACGTAGCTCATCCGCTTGGCGCTGATCCATTTCTTCACGCTGATCCTGAGGTCAGGAGTGGGGCAATGCCTCCCCAGGTCTTGGTGGTGCAAATGCCTGATTCCCATGCCGTCAATATTGGGATGGGCTCAGCGAAACGCTATCCGTGGCAAAGCAAACTTAAAAATCAAACACTTTTACAGATTTCTCCTACCCTACACCCCTTGTCACAACAGGGTGGTGTCACCAACTAGCGCTTCCCCACAGCCCAAAATCTCAGATCACTTACCTTGATCCTGGCATCCCTTCTATCTCCCGAAAACCACCATTCCACGCACCTGCAACCTACTTATATAAACCCAGCAAAATCCTGGTCCTTTCCGGGAAAAAAATAAACCGAGAAATTCCTTCATCCACGTCTCAATTCCAAGAGCCTCCCCGGCGTAGCCACCAGGATCTCGGGCCACCGCCCGAAGTCCGGCGCCTCGACCAGCGGCGTCTGCTGCTGCGCCGCCACGCCGCCGAAGCAGAGCCCTGCGCGGATCAGGTCCTCGCCGGAGGTGCGCGTGCAGAACCTGGAGGCGAGCCAGGTGAAGGTGGGAGACGTAGAGACCAAGGTGAACCAGAAAAATACATCTTGTCAGTGTGTTATAGAACTTAAGGTCATTTTAAAAAAACTGCAAATGAAATATGAATGCCTGGAGAGGTTCTTTTTTACAAAGACCACAAAACTCCTCGTTGAAGATGCCAGGTCACTGCTGGGCCACCTTGTAGGTTTGCACCGCCAGCTCACGCGTGGGCTCCAGGATCAGCACAATGGGTCCTGCGGACGGTTAGAACCAGGTGGAACCGGCATTGTCTCGCTTGCTGCAAAGAGGCCCCTGAAATGAACGAAACGCCACGTATTTCTTTGGATTGACACCTTCTGGCGTTTAGAACTCGCTTCTTCCCTCCGACCCCACACGCGGAAGACAACCGGTTTCAGCACCCGTTTTCAACCTTGCCTTCTCCTTCTTGAACGTGGGGCTGGGCCATGATGTGCACCAAGGCCGGCAACAAAAACGCCAACGTCTTGCCTGAGGGACGGAGGGCCGATCGTGAAAACCAGGAGAAACAGAAAAACAAGTAGTTGAAGTCTTCTTGCTATTAAGCCTTGTTGGTGGTCTGACCTCGCATCACCTATTCTGGTGGTGTGGTGATATATCGATAATATAACACATATTAGGTATTATATATATATATATATATATATATTGCGAGTGGATCTTAATCAGCGAAGTTTGAAGCTATCACTGACGATCCATAAGCGGCGTAGCGTCGGAACGGAAACCGCACCTTTTCTAGTCGCTTGATCCTTGAGCCAAAGTACATATGGTACATATATATGTACAAGTTGCACTGTACGTGTCGCTGCACTTCCATTCGCACCCCCCATGTGAACGGCAACAATATGTTCCGATCACACACGAAAATTTAGGGATGTAAGTGCTACAAAAGAAATTGTATGATTTGCCGCGAGACTCATATGAGGCTCATACTACGAAACATGCTGGACTAAAGCGGACTTTTACATATAAAGTGTGCAACTATGGCTCAGAACCTATGAAAATCGAATTGAACAAGTGAGACAGTCACGAGGCCTCGCTCAGTATCCACTCAAAGGAGCATCGCTTTGATGTAGATCCGAACTGGTGACTTCCACGTAGATGTCACATCGGCAACTGACTTCACACTTCTCAAAAGATGTAGGTTTTGGTTTGGATACACTTACAGAACGGCAAGTCGGAGAGACAGTCGGTGACTGTCTGCCTTCCATTATGCTCATGGTATCAAATCGTCAATCCGATGATTTGCAATGATACACTTACAGCGTTTCAGATCAGATAGACATCCGGTGAATGACTTCCTCCCTGGTTTGCATGGTATCCTCATAGTCGTTCAAAGAATTCACCACTGGCGATAACCTCTCCATCCACGATGATCCCAGCTGCCCTGAGCATCCCGCCGATCATCTTCTCCCTTCTTGGACTTTCCCTTGGACTTGCTCTTTCCCTTCCCCTTTTCAGAAGGTTGAGGTACTTCGCGACGTTCTTGCGTTAGCGCCGGCCTCCAAGATGTTCCAGATTGGCCTCCTCCTTTGGAATGTCCTCGGGATGATGAAGAAGTTGTACCTTCTGCTGCATGTGCGTTGGCGGCAAGATCTTCCTGCAAAGCTTGCTCAAACACATCGGTAGCACTGGATGGTGATTTATCATGTGGTCTGGCTTTTGGAGCAGCCTTCGCCTTGCTCTCCTCTGCTGATGAGGGCCCGAAACTCTTAGGTGCTGTTGAAGGTTTTGGCTCCTCACTTGGTGCTGACGACGGCTTGGCCTCGGTTCTGGATGTAGATGCTGGCTTTGCCTCAGCTCTTGACGAAGATGCTGCTTTCGCTTCAGACTTAGTCGTTGATGTTGACTTAGCTGTTGCCTTGGCTGCCTGCTTCTTCTTGCCCTGAATCTCCTTGGCCCTATCTCCAAAGCCTAGACGATCGGTAAGAGCTTGAACATGCTTCTGTTCTACCACGCTCATCCATCTCTCTGTATGTCCAATGTTGGGATTTCTGGCCATTGACTCTACGACATTCTGAGCGTGTGGGGGCAACCTGATCTCATGTTGATCAATGATCAGCAGAATAGACTTCTCCCATTTGCTCTTCATTCTCGAGTACATGATGTCCAGAGGATCGATCACCTTGTGGTTGGGTGATATAACGTCGGTTCTAAAGTAAGAATATGTCCGACAACCATAAATCGCATGGATGCACTTCTGTACCAATTCAGTCATTGCGCTGGCTTTCTTCGCTTTCAACTCCTCAAGCTGGACGTCAGTCAAGTTGGTGGAGTATTCGAAGTTGCCATATTCCTTCTTGAAGGAGTACGGAGTATGACCAAATGATAGGATCACGAGTGCCACCTTGCAAATGAATTGCTCTCCTCTGAATCGGTGCCAGGCCTCCTCAATCGTAATCTTGTTTTCGTTGGCAAAGATTCTCATCATGTCATCTGTTGGATCCAATGGTCTCCCATCGTCATCGATTTCAGTGAAATCCTCTGTACCGAACTTGCTTATCACATCCAGACGCTTCCTTTTCCAATTTGCTTTGAAGTCGGTAAGGCTGGTGCAATAGTAGCTCTTGTACATCAGGGAGATCATGTTCAGCACACATTTGACCACATACCTATCCATCAAACCCGATGCATTCATGGAGACGTCCTGACAGTAGGCTCTCTCTTGATGCGCATAGATTCGAGGTTCCGGTACTCGACAATAGATGGGGAGATCTTCGTTGTCTCTTCCTTCTTCGGGATTGAACTCGGTCGCTCCATGCTGTGCATAGTATCCCGGTTCATCACGATCTGTCGGTCGATTCGCCTCCGGATGTAAGTCGTCGGTGACGTCTTCATCCTCGGGCTCACCATCTTGACGTTTCTTCCCCTCATATTGTTGTGTGCTCCTCTGGATCTCGATGATCACGTTTCGTTCGTCTTCATCTTCTAGATCAGAATCACGACCGTAGTCGATCTCGTCCTCATTGAAAGATGGGGTCTCGACATTGTCACTCTTGAAGTTTTCTGCACCATCAGACGGTTTGGAAGGATCTAGATTGGCCATGTCCTCGTCGTCGTCAGCTGCTTCAGTTTGAGCGATGTCTTCTTCCCAAGCCTTTCTGATCTCGTCCATAGTGGCCTGGTCCAAGATATCTTGATCATCATCTTCAGGCTCCTTCTCTTCCTTCTTTTCCTCTTCATCGTCGCTCACAAGATCAACGGGTGAATCGGAAATGACAGTGTTGCGAATACCACACGAGAGTAGCCTGCCTTGACAAGATAGACACACGGACAAAGATGAAGAAGTCAAATGCATACATGATGGACACAAAATATTGCCATCCACGTTGCGATACCCTTCACATGTTCTGGAGATGATTTCGTCCCAAGTTTCCTCACTGATGGAATCCTCGATCAGCTCTCCATTGTCATCGAATTGTACTTCATCGATAAGGGACACGAGCTTTTGGACGTTGTCATCTGTCGCCGAGGCTGACTTCGTGACTTCGTCGGCTCTCTCGAGGATGGTATGCTTCTGAGCGACCCAAAGTCCATGACGTGCCGCTAGAACAACTTGCTCTCCAGTGCTTCCCAGCAGGAGTCTCCTCCATGCCTGAACGTAGTCGTCCCAATACCAAGCACCTCGTACACATCTCCATGGAACTTCTCTAAAAACAACAGTGTAGGAATTCTCCGAAATTCTTCCCCCAAGCTTCCTCAAAGTCATGATTGGAACATAAAGGCAAACGGGCATTCCCACTCTTGGCCATCTTGATCTCAGAATCTTTGATGATCGATCATCCCACGGCGCAAAGTGGTTGAAGAAAACACTACCTCTATATCCCTCCGTTCCACCAGGGACAATTCCTAGTTTCATGATTGACTCAATATTGGAAAGCGATGTCATGTGAAAGCTTCCTCCAAGCTGCATTGCCACATTCTCTGGAATGAGATGTGAAGTCCACACAGGGTATATTGACACATCCTCTTCAAGAACAGTCTCTCTTCCAGAATTGTGAGAGGCAACAGCTCGAATTGCACAAGGAACGATCCAACGTTCATGCTTCAGAAATGACGGTGCATCTGTGCTGTAATACATGAGGTTTGCCCAGTATTGCCTTTCCTCTTCGAGTGAGACATCCTCCCTTGAGATACGAATGGCGGCAATCTGATAGCGTACTCTGTTCTGCAACTTCTTTGCATGCCACATCGCCTTGCATAAATACTGGTATCGCTCTGTCTTGACATCTTGCTCACGTTGATCATCTGAGATAGTACTGATATCGACACCATCGTTGAAGACATGGTCATATTCCAGGATCTCATCGATGTTCACCCATCCACCCTCATTGCACTTCGGGGACACATGAGGTTTTCGACCGCGGTGCGATTGAATCCCATTATGCTTTCCCACTCCATGCCTGAGTAGTCTATTGAGTCTATGGCTAACCTCGTTGACCCGCTGACTCTCCTCGCTGAACTTGTCGATGCGAGTTGCTGGGTTCATCTTTGGTGGATCCGTGAAAGTTGCATCTCTCTTCGGTCCATTCCAGTACTCCACATAGAATGTAACTCCATACTGTGGAATTATCTCGATGCTTCCTCTATCGCAAGTCACCTCAATCTGCCGATATCCAACCTTTTGAACTTGTTGTGGGTCAGGAGCAAGGTCCTTCACTTTGGGCATCTTTATTCCGAGTGCTGCAGCCTCCTGAATAAGTGCATCAAGTTCCCACTTTCCATTAGGACCTGATCTATCAACCCTGTGATTTGCGACCCTGTACTCTCCTCCTTCTTTGTCATCGGCAATGTCAAAGAGGTCGACGGGCTCTTTGAATCTGGTGACGAAACTGGCGTTCCCAAAGGCCTTCTTGGTTGCCTCGACCGCTTTCGCGTATTCCTCTTTTGCAGAGTCTGACGAGTGTGGTCTACCTTTGGCTCTCGGAGAGTGAGGTGGTACCTTACCTCCTAGTTCCGGTTCTTCTTCGGGAAGTTCAATATCTTCATCATCCACATCCATGTAGTCCTCGTCTTCGACGTCTTTGGATGACTTTGCTTTCCTCTTTCGGCTTTCAACATCACGTCGGATGATTGCCTTGTCGTCCTCGGTGAAGCACTTACGCATAGTGTCCTCCATGTGAGAGAATGAGTTCATCAACTCGTCCTTCTTCTCAGTGTTGGGACAAATAGCCAGGTGATGTTGGTTTGAACCACAACAATAGCACACCTTTTGGCTCACTGCGCGTGCTCTGACCCTTCTGAGGTTGTCATAGGCGGTTTTCCAGTTGGAAGCGGTTGCTGTACCTTGCCCACTGCGCTTGGCAGCTCTTTTCCGTTCTTCAGTATCTGGATTCGATGTCGGGTAGTGCGACCATGTTTTCGTCGGGGATACTGAACGACCTTCCCCATCCTTGTAGTCTTGCGGATCAAGCTCAGGCGTAGGTGGTTCAGGCTCCTCGACTCCTGGAGTGGTACTCGCAGGGTCGGCT